TCAATCATGTTTCACCATAGTAGTTCATGGTCAAGCATGGTCACCTCCGCCTGGGTAGTGTAGCACAAACAAACTTAGGCATGACAATAGACTCTGTTTTTCCGAGATGTCATGATGACAATGGTCGACCTTGGTTAATGACCATGGTAGTTTGTGATATTTAATGATCATAGTCAATCATGTTTTACCCTGGTAGTTCATGGTCAAGCATGGTCACCTCCACCTGGGTAGTGTAGCACAAACAAACTTAGGCATGACAATAGACTATGTTTTTCCACGATGTCTTGATGACAATAGTCGACCTTAGTTAATGACCAAGGTACATGTAGTTTGTGCTGTTTAATGACCATAGTCAATCATGTTTTACCCTGGTAGTTCATGGTCAAGCATGGTCATCTCCACCTGGGTAGTGTAGCACAAACACACTTAGGCATGACAATAGACTCTGTTTTTCCAAGATGTCATGATGACAATGGTCGACCTTAGTTAATGACCAAGGTACATGTAGTTTGTGCTGTTTAATGACCATAGTCAATCATGTTTTACCCTGGTAGTTCATGGTCAAGCATGGTCATCTCCGCCTGGGTAGTGTAGCACAAACAAATTTTGGCATGACAATAATTTTCCAAGATGTCATGCCTTTGCACCCTGAGATTTAACATAATCAGTGAGGGGGGTCAGGCATGTCTAAGTTGAAAATTGAAATTCAAATAACAAATTGTTGACAAAATAGTTTTATTAAATATATAGAAACTACTTTCTCAAGAATTAATACAGAAATAACACTAAAAATGCTAACTGGGCGATAGTTCCAGGCATAGAGCTCTTTTTTTCTAATTGCTTACATGTAAATTTGTTCATTTCTAGGGTTCTATGTATTTTTTGGGGGGTCTGTGTAACACAACGCGAAAGTAACATTGTGAATCCAGTCTTTCGGTGTTGTTTTTTTTAATTTTGGAGTGCCTTATCTATACAGTCTCTTGCATAAGTGAGAGTTAATGCATGTAATACGTACAGCTTCATCAAAATACTTAGTAGACATTTGTGACCAAACTATTTTCTTTTTGCCGACAGCTGTAAAAAAATTTACAATCTCCATATACACTTTCTGACCCTTCACAACAAAAAATACACTTCAATTCAGTTGAGCGAGGAGCGGGGCTTTTACAAAAATACATTCCTGCATACTTAACTAATGAACAAAAGGACACACAATCCATGTGTATGAATGCCTTAGACACACAACATACAATGCCTTAACCTTTTCATCACCTGTTCTTAGTCTGCAATTTCTTTCAGAAGAATGGGACAAAAATAGCAAAATTTTTTGAGTAAAAACTGAAAATTGACTAAAATTTTGTCTGTTGGCTCGAAAATTAGAGTTCATTTATAGAAATATTGAAGAATATGAGAAAAAAGCAGACAAATTTAGGCGAGAAAGTTTGGTGGTGAAAAGGTTATTATAGGGCGTATCACGTATTCAACTCTTAATGACATTTCTACCACACACAGATTACCCCCTAGGTTAGGGAAGATTTTGACTAGGATTGTAGGACTAGGATTATTTTTCACTTCTCTGAAGAGTTTTCTAAAGTCAAGCATTCTGTAATTCCAACACCTAATGCACCATGGCTGCAGCGTCTGTAACTGTCAAATCAGTCTTAAAGGAAATTGGAGACGATCACCTCAGCTGCTCCATCTGTCTTGAGTTCTACAAAAATCCTAAAATCCTACCATGTCTTCATACATTCTGTGAGCAATGTCTGGTGGATTTAAAGGCCAAATCTGGAGGTGTTTTGAATTGTCCAGCTTGCAGAATTCAGTGTGATACGCCCATCCAGGATGTAAAGCCCAACTTCTTTGTGACAAGTCTACTAGACACAGTCCAGAAAAAAAGACAACTGACATCTGACAAACCACTGATGTGTGAAACATGCCAAGAAAAGATAGCAACTCACAGGTGTGTGGACTGTCCTCAGTTTTGTTGTAATGTATGTGTTATAGCTCATGAACGTATTCCAGCTTTGCAATCACATAAAGTGCTTACAATTGAGGAGTATAAGGCAGGGGAAACTTGGCGTCATCAGATGGTACAGTCCAAAGTTTTCTGCAGCGAACATAAAGGCAGCCACTTAGAATTCTACTGTGACACGTGTCAAGTTCCTGTATGCTTGAAGTGTACCATAGTTAACCACAGAGTTCCTGAACACGCCCATAGAAACTTGCAGGAGGTGGTAGAAGAGTATAAGACACAACTCAAAGGTCAGCTGGAACAGTTGAAACAGAAAGAAAAGCAACTTAAGAAGGAAAAAGCAACAGCTGAAGCTACACGAGAAAAGATCGGAGAAAAGTGTGAGGTAGAGAAAAAGAAAGTTACAAAAAGAGCTACAGAGATAATGAAGAAAGTGACGAGTGAAAAAAATAAACTGATAGATGCATTGAATGAAAACTATAGACAAGACCGGAAAGATGCCGAAGTTGCTGTTGATGAAGTGGAACTAAAACATGTCAACACTGTCAGTACCTATGATTACTTAGAAACACTGATGCATCATGGGAATGCTGTTCACCTACTGTCTATGAGAACTGAAAATACCAATCGCATTGCAGAGCTGGTTGCTATGAAAACCAAACAATTCACATATAATGCTGTTGAATTTAACCAAGGCATTGACCTAACTGCATATGCACTGCTTGGTGTGGTCAAATCTGAGGCTTGTCCATCTAAATGCACAGTTGAAAACATCCCAAAACAACTTTTGAGAGGTGAATCTATCAACCTGCTCATCACAACCAGAGATTCCAGAGGAAGGAAAATCATTCCTTGTCAAGATATCAAGGTGAAGATGAGGAATCCTGATGCATCATGGGAAGACATTGATGTTACAGACAATAACGACGGGACTTGTCAAGTGATGATAAAAGGAAAGATGGAGGGAGAACATCAAGTTACCATGACGATTGATAACCAACATTTATCAGGATCGCCACTCCATATTCCTGTCATCAGCGGACTGGTACAGACAGTAGAAACACCAGACAGTGAAAGACTGAGCGGGATAACCATCAACAAACATGGTGACTTTGTCACAGGTGATCCAGGGAACAACAGAGTGACCATCCATGACAGAGACGGAAATTACAAACAGTCATTTACATTCACTGATCAGTTAGCAAAGCCATTCAGACCACAGGATGTAGCCATATCAGATCGTAATGAATACTTCATGACAGATGTTAACAACAAACAAGTAGTTGTAAGTGATGAAAACGGAAAGTTGATCAGAAAATTTAGAACCAGTGAAGTTAATAATCCTGGTGGAATTGCAATTAATCCTGTCACTAAGAATGTTTATGTGAGTGATGAGAATTATATTGGAAAGTACACACAAGATGGGAAGTACATCAACTCTATTGACATTCAATTGAAACGAATTAAACGAATTCACTTCTTAAATGTAGCTATTAATAGCCACGGGGTAGTATATGTGACAATTAATGAATTTATTCAAGTATTCAGTAAGGAAGACGTATTCATGTATAAGATTAGTCTTACTCAAGGTTTGCTGAATGGAGTGGCAATCGATAAGAATGATTGTTTATACATTCTGGGATCTAATAAAATTACAAAATATGACAGATACATGTATCCTCAGTTGATTTTTAAAATTCACGAGGAAAGAGAAAGCTACAGTCTTTCTTACCGTCAACAATTTTTCACTAG